TGGTCGGTCAGCTCGCCTGCCAGGCTTGGAAGACCAGGGCTATGGGACCCATCTATCATGGGTAGACTCGAGTCTCTGTGGCTGGGCTGTCCTGGTAGACCCAAGCCAGTGTCCACAGGTGGAACAGAGTCCACCAGTCCTGAAAATGGAGCCATTAGCTGGCATTGTCCATTGGTTGTGGTATCAGTGGTTGAGACTGACTCACCAGACGCTTGAGTCTCGTCCCTTAGTCGGAGAGCTCCACCGTCGCTGGCAGAGTCTGATGCACTACTGCCATTGTGCTGCTCCTGAGTTTGACTGTCACTAGAGTCATGAGTTATTGGCTGGTTTGCTAACCTCCGCCGCAGTTGGTCAATGTGTCTGCATAGCATGCGACCGTCTTCCAGGACCACTTCGTAAGAAAGTGGCCCAGACACCTTACAAACCACAGCTACCACCCACAGTGCCCCTTGCCCATAGTTTCTTGCCCAGACCGGGTCGCGAACTTGCAAGTGCCATGGTGCCTTTGGCTGTGTTGCTTGTGAGGCAACTCTATCTGGATGTAGGTGATCCAGCTTTGTAATCAAACGCCGGCCCCATCTTAATTCTGCTGGGCTTCTGCCCGTAGAAGTGCATGGGATTGTACGTTGACAGAGTAGAAAATCTGCCAGTCTGTGTTGCCAGTTACCTGAGACTATCCGCTTTAAGGATTCCTTTGTTGTTCGGACCATGCGCTCCACTTGGCCGTTCGAAGCTGGGTGAAAAGGGGCTGATATGGCATGTCTGATCATATTTGCCCTTAAAAAGGACTGAAATTCTGAAGCAGTAAACTGGGCCCCATTGTCAGAAACTATCACATCGGGTAACCCATGTGTGGCAAAAATCCTGTGCAGTTCTTGTATGGTCCTGGCAGCAGTCATGGTGGGGATAGGTGCGACCTCTAACCACTTGGAGTGACTGTCCACCACAATGAGGAAGAGTTGTCCCTGGAAAGGCCCTGCATAATCGATGTGGATCCTGAACCAGGGGGCATGTGTAGTTTCCCATTGGTGGACAGGTGCATGGGGCATCTCTGGCCTAGATTGCTGGCAAAAATGCAGCTCTGTACCTGAGCCTCAATATCTTTGTCCAGCCCAGGCCACTAAAGGTAGCTTCGCGTGAATGCCTTCATCCGGACTATTCCCGGATGTCCCTCATGCAGAGACTCCAAGTCCTCAGTGTGTTCGGGACTACCACCCGACTACCCCACAAGATGCACCCCCTGTGGGCTGACAACTCATCCTTCCTCCTGCTGAAACTCTGAAAATTAGGCCCGGGACTATTTTCCAGCCATCCTGTGAGCACCCAGTTCAGCACACGGCTCAGCATCATGTCTGAAGCTGTCTCTGAAGCCATGTCCCCTGCATTAAGGGGAGACTCAGGCAGGTCCTGCATAGCCAGGATGCGCATGGCTGGAGCGGGGTCGGGCTCTAACTGCGGCAGGGGCAGTCTGCTAAGGCCATCTGCGTGGCCCATTTCTCTACCTGGTTTATGAATCAAACTATAATCATATGCTGACAGGAAAATTGACCACCTCAACATCCTAGGGGATATGATCTGGGGTGTTTGCTTGTTTGTTGTGAACAATCCCAGGAGTGGCTTATGGTCTGTGAAGACCATGAAGGGCCTACCATATAGATAGTCATGAAACTTATTGATCCCTGCCACTATGGCCAAGGCCTCTTTATCTATTTGAGCGTAATTATGCTCTGCAGAGAACAAGGTCCTCAAGTAATAGGCTATTGGAATTTGCCTTCCATCAGCCATTAAATGACTCAACACAGCCCCAACCCCATATGGTGATGCATCACAAGCGATGCAGACAGGCAGCTTTTCGTTAAAATGCATCAAAACTGAATTTGAAAATAGCAGTGATTTGACTGCTGAGAAGCTCCTATCATGGATGCTGGTCCACTTCCACTGTGCATGTTTGTCCAAGAGCTGGTGTAACGGCTCTGCTACTGTGGCCTTGTGAGGTAGGAAGGCGTGATAAAAATTGAGCAGTCCAAGAAACGCTTGGAGCTCCCCCTTTGATTTTGGACTGGGGGCCTGCTGAATTGCTTTGAGCTTGGATTCAGCAGGATGAATGCCTTGGGCATCTATATGGAAACTGAGGAACTCAGTTGAAGCTACCCCAATCTTACATTTCTCCCACTTCAGTTTCAGCCCCGCTTCACGGAAGCGCTGAAGGACGGCCTTGAGCCATTCTGCCAATTTTTTGACTGATTCCCCAGCTATGAAGAAATCATCAAAATATGGGCACACGCCTGGAATACCCTTGAACATGTGCTCCATCACTCCCTGGAAGAGGCCTGGGGCAACACTGACCCCAAATTGTAGGCGCTTAACCTTGAAAGCTCCTCTGTGAGTAACTATGGTTTGAGCTTCCGCCATGGCATCATCTCCCGGCAATTGCTGATAGGCTTGAGCCAAATATAACTTGGCAAAGATGCGACCTCCCTATAGTGACACCAAAATGTGGCTGACTACAGGCATCAGATATGCGTGTTGTTGGAGTGCACTATTGATAGTGCACTTGTAATCTGCACATATTCACACCTCTCTATTGGCCTTAAGTGGCGTAACTATGGGGGTTTCCCATTGATTGCTATCAACTGGCTGCAGGATGCCTGGCTGCAGCTCTGCATCGATCTTCTGCATCGATCTTCTGAGGGGGAAGGGCACTCTACGCGGCTTGATCTGTATTGGAGTTATGGCAGGATCAAGCCGAAGAGGTTCCCTAAGTGAGGGCTAAAAATGTCAGCAAACTCCCGGCAAACTGCCGCTAAGTCCACTGCTTGTGTGATGTTTATTCTAGTTACATTGATTCCCAATGCATCAAACCAATCAAGCCCAATGAGGCTTGTGCAGTTGCCCTCAACTACTACGACTTCCAGGGCGGCCTCAAATTCCTTGAAGTGCACCCTGTGTGTAGCTTCCCCCTTGACTGTTACTTGGGAGTTTTGGAAATCGATTAACACGAGGTTTGATGGCTTGAGCTTAACTCTTTTGCCGCTGTGACTGCAAATGTGTTTGAAAGTCCCCTGGAAAATTATGGATAATGCGGACCCTGTATCTAGTTCCATGTTGCATGGAACTCCCTGCAGCTTGACTTTGAGCCGCAGTTTTTCCTTAAGAGGGTGATGGGCACCTGTTCTAAGTACGCTCCTCCTAGTGGCACAATAGCCCACCCTTTGTTGCCCCGGGCCCCAGGTACCTTTCCGGGGAAACTCTTCTGGTGGACTCTCTCTCCGACGATCCTGACAGACTGCGGCGATGTGGCCTTGCTTGCCACACGCCCAACACGTTGCTGTGCGGAACCTGCAGTCCGTGCATTTGTGTTGGCCTCCACAACCCGCACATCGAGAGAAGGGAACTGCCTTGTCAGCTGGGCATTGTGGCCTTCTTTCTGGTGGCCGCTGTAACCGATTGATCTCTTGATCCAATATAGAGTCTTCGACCCTTTCAGCGCCCTCCTGATGGATGGCCTCTGCACAGGGAACGTTCCTGGAGAGCCGTAAGGCCTTGACGGCTCCCCCGGCAGCTTCTTCGGCTGTGATTTCTCTTAGGGCATCTTGAAATGAAATAGTCTCTTTGGTGAACAATTTCTGTTGGAAATCTCTGTTTCTTAACCCACACACTAAGTGGTCTCGCAGCCTCTCTTCAAGATCTTTGAACTCGCAGGGTCAGGCCGCTTGACGAAGGGCAGCAATGAATTCGGCAGCCGATTCACCCGGTCGTTGGTCTCTTCTTTCGAAGGCATGCCTCTAGGCGATGACTGATAGCTTCGGCTCAAAGTGTTCTTTGAGCATTCTCTTAAGTTTGGAATAAGCAACAGATTCAAGTGGCGCCGGAGCTATTAGGTTTTTGGCGATCTCGAACGTCGCCTGGCCACAAACGCACAGCAGCGTTTGCCATCTTCAAGCCATCTTCACAAACTTGGTTGACTCTAAGGTAATTCTCGACTCTTGCAATGTACGAGCTCCACCTCTCTGGATGTGCGACGTCGAATTCTGAGAGTTTTCCAAGTTTGACCATGGTGAGTTGCTTTCGTTGTTTTTGGCCTCGCAATGCCTTGTACTGCCTAGGCTTCTTCTAATCTCCCAGGGACGGTTCCTTGGGAGCGCTCTTCCTCCAGCGTTTTCGAATTGGCAGGAATGGGGGGGAACGTGGTCCCAACCAAGGCGTCGTCACTTGGCTTACCCCCTTAATGACTCAGCTCTTCGAATTTGGCAGCACATCCCACCTTCGTCGCCACTGTTATGTTTGGTGTTCTGTGAGGCATCGACAAGGCAGCAAGTGAACAAACAACTCTTTATTAAAAGTTTAAACAGAAGCCTGAATAGCTGCAGCTCCACCCTATTTATACACTCAACCACTAGGTGGCAGCCAATAGGATTCAAGTATTAGTTCCTGCTTTAACACAAGATAATTAGCATGTAGACAGCAAGTCTGGCTCTTAACTGACAGAGTCTTATGACCTTTTTTTCAACAATTCCAAGTAATTCACCTCAATACATTACAGCATCATTAATTGGTTTCCTTTCATAAGATTAGATTATTCTTTCTTCCAACACAAGCTGGCTCCATGTCTTTGGGTCATTGAAACATACATCTTTTTCATCTTACTCCCTTCACATGACTCATGATTCATCCCACTTCTCTCACATCGTGTCCCATAAGGTTCAGTCTCCTCTCTTTCCAATGTCCTAGTGAGTTATAATGTATAGAGAGAAAACCAATTCTGATGGTTTTGATCCAGCTAGCTAAATAAAAGAACATCCTGTGATTGCAACCTAGATCAAACATGAATGCTTTTGCCCCTATTGGTGCTGCCAATCAAATTTCTGATTGTTTTCATCTCCGTTGTATTACAGATCTTGTGCCAGTTTATTTGGCACCTGATTGAACAAGGAAATGATATTCCCAAACTATAGGCCAAGCAGCTTGGTTGTACTAAACTCTTACATTATCTTCATCAGGTCCTAAAGGGGTTTCCAGAATGTTTGCAAGCTGATATCTGTCTCCACCTCAACCAAAGTTTACTTCAGAACTGCAAAGCTTTCCAGGGGGCGAGTAAAGGGTGTCTCCGGGCTCTGGCTATGAAGTTTAAGACAACTCATGCACCTCCTGGGGACACACTAGTCCATTGTGGCGATATTCTGACTGCACTTTACTTCCTTTCCCGAGGCTCCATTGAAATCCTCAAGAATGACATGGTTGTAGCAATTCTCGGTAAGCATTCAAAAATATCATTGCATCTGGAAATGTTTCACGGTTTGATCAGATTCCTTTCCAAGAGCAGAATCGGTACTGCATATTAGAATGAATAAAAAGAGAATATGCATCAATATTGTACTGAATCCAATATGAACCCTTTTTTTCTTTTCATAAAATGTAGATTACATAAAGAGAAAAGGAATATGTCATTGTGAGAAGAGCAGGCAGAGCTGGGGGGTGGAGTTAAACATGTCATCAGTTTAGAGTCCTTACATTGCCACAAACGATCTAAGTCCAACCTCTCTTGAATTCTGTTGGTCAATGGAATTCAAGTAAGGTTGGATTTGGATTGTTTGAGGCAGTGTAAGGACTCTAAGCTTGTAAGGAGACATTTAACTGCTCCTCCCGCTCTGCCTGCTCTTCTCCTACATCAAACAGTTAAAACAGCCCTAGGTTCTGACTCTCAGAAAAGCAACTACTATAATTTAACAAAACAGAATTAAATTTGAATTACATCAGGATCAGATGTACACTACTACTATGCTAGTGGAAAAATACATGTCCACAGTTTAGATATTCCGAATTACAAAATACAGACAAGGCCTTAACAGTGATGAAACTTCAGTGCTCATCCTTTAAGGCAGAGGTCCCCAACCTTTTGGGCACTAGGGACTGGTTTCGTGGAGAAAGATTTTTCCATGGACCGGCGAGTGCATTGTTTTGTGTGCTGCCTGCATCTCGCGGATGGGGCTTGTGCGGACCGGTTGCTGGCATGCTGCGGCCCGGTACCGGTCCACGGACCGGGGGTTGGGAACCTCTGCGTTAGGGATTGCCAACAATTATTGCCATTATTGCTCACAGGAATCTGATGAATACCTGATAGAAAGAACATGTTTCCAGCACACATCTTGACTTCAGAATTCAACCATCCTTACTTTCAAGGGTTTGAATCATCATATACTCCTCGCAAAGTTTTACAAGGATCTTTTATGAGGATCATAAATAATTGCAGCTTTATCTCCACAGCTAAAAGCCCAATGAATTCTGTTCAGGCAATAACAACCTTCTGCAGAAAATGGCATCCATTAAGTAAATATGGGAAAGACTTTAATCACAGTGGATTGTGTTATTCTGTTATACCTGCATTGATTTGTTAGTGAGATTTCCAGAAAGGAAGTTTTTTTTTTAACAGGGAAATAAATAACTGGTGGTTAAACAATCATTTTTAAACATTTCTGACTTCTTTTTTTTAAGCTTTCTGGGAGAGAGACAAATATGAATTCTTGTAATTACCGTGCTTTTCTGTGCCATTACTGTTACAGGCAAAAATGACATTTTTGGAGAGATGGTCCATCTTTATGCAAAACCAGGAAAGTCAAATGCAGATGTGAGAGCACTAACCTACTGTGACTTGCATAAAATCCAACGAGAAGACTTATTAGAGGTTTTGGATATGTATCCTGAATTTTCAGACCTGTTTCTCACCAATTTAGAACTCACTTTCAACTTGAGACATGAAAACGCAAAAGTATGTTCATTACAGAGTTTGAATATCTTTTCATTTCCCAATAAGAGTGAAGATTTTCTTTTTATTCTATTCAGTCGTGTCCAATCTCAGAGACTGCCTGGACAAGTCCCTGCAGTTTTCTTGGCAAGTGGTTTTGAGAAGTGGTTTGCCATTCCTTCCTTCCTACCTTGATGAAATTAAGGCAAAAACAACATCTACAAATTGTCTAGAAAGATAAAAAAAAGAAAGAAAGAAAAATATAGTTTGTGGCCATAATAAAAATTGATAATGAAAGATAAATATTAGCAAAAAAAAACCCTAGTAAAATTCTCTCCTTTTGCATTGCTTATTTATTTTCATGATAAGGGACTAGAGCATAAAGAACATGCTGCTTGATCACAGATATATTGATCATAGATACGTACATAGGTTGATACATAGATACATGTAGAAAAAAGCAGTTATACAGCCGAGAAAAGAACAGCAATTCTATTGCATGACATATTTAGAAACTAAGGACATTATAAATAAGATTATCCATGCCTCAGTTTTCGAAATAATGTATCCACAATCTGAAATTCAATCTCAGTAAAGACAATGACTCTCAGTCTCTCCCTCTATCTCTCTCCCTCCCTCCCTCTCTATTTATCTATAATGTAATAGCTCTAGATTACTACCTAAATTATCCTACTAGCCATATTTTTCTCATTACTTGTAGTCTCTGCTTCAGTTTGCATACAGTACATTTCTCCTCCTTCTCCTTCTCTTCCTCCTCCTTCTTCCTGTTTCCATCATCTCAATTTCTAGCCACAATACAAGCTAGATGTATCTCCAATGCCTATCCATACAGCATAGTACTGTAGATGTTTCAGGTGGTCAGTTTGAATTCCAATAAGTAGCAAAATGTTACTCTTGTTAAGCACTGTTTGGCTGTTTTTCCTTAGACAGCCACAATTTAAACAACTTCTGTTTTTCCTTAGACACCCACAATTTAAACAGCTTCTGCTCATATATAATGGTTTTTTTTGTTCCTTGCTCCCTGCCATCTGCACCTTGGAGTCTAGAACTTGTTGGGTTGTACCTCTCCTGAATGAGGTTGTTCCTCATTTGAACATCCTGTCACAGCCCTGTTTTCCAATTTTTTTCCCTGCTTCTTGAAAGCAGAAAGAAAAAAAGGAAGACTAACAGTCGGATGCATTTTTAATGCCCATTGTTAGTCAATTAAGTGGGAATGCAAAAGAAAAGCTGCTTATGGTTCCCACTTCCATCTTGTGACCAGTTGCTGAGCCCCATTTTAGGCCCTGAATCCAGTTCTTGGCACCACACATTTAAGCAGAATTCAGTGGAATTGGAATAGGAGAATGGGTGCTGTCTTTTCTTGAAAACTCCCATCAATTGTCTTTGGAGGACCAGAAATTATGAAGGGTAATTGAAGGAACTTGCTGTGTTTAGCTGTGCGAAAAGCCATTTGAGAGGAGGTATGACAGGACTCTTCTAATGTGATATCACATAGAAGATCAAGACCTTTCTTTTTTATTTCAGCATGCAGGATGCAAAAATATTTAACTTGCATTACAAAAAAGGAGATTCCAGAAGATTGATAGAAAATGGTACCTAGCAATAAAAGCAGTTGGATAGTTGAACCAAATGTCCTAGAAATAGGTAATCTACCTTTCATTAAATTCACTTAGGCAGATACTAGTCAGCCATGTATTGAGGATGCTTCCTGTATACTATATGGGTGGTTCTTGAGGATCCAAAAGGCCTGTTCTAATTTTACAAATCACAGAAAGATTCTAGGGAAGAAAAAATGTGCTAACTTTCATTTTAGTCTCCAAACAAGAGGAAGAATAGAAAAAATTGTAAGGTTCATGTCAATCCAAAAAGGAAGTAGACTGAACTTACTATATGAATGCAAATGACGCAACGAATCAAGGTCTCATTAAGTGAGAGTTAAATTATATATCTTTTTAAAACCCATTATTGAGGAGCACTTAACTAGACCTAGTGAAATCTGTAGAGTAACAGGGGAACATTAAATTTTTAATTAAAGTCAGACAAAAGAGTTAGGTTAAACAGAAGTTCAATACCATTTTGTAAATCTCCAATGTGGGTTCTATCCATTTCTTTAAACAAAATTTCCTAAAATTCTCAGCATTCCCTAGCTGGCTAGGGAATTTTAGAAGCTGAAGTCCATACATCTGGTGCTGGGTGGGGAATTCTGGGAGTTCATCTTAAAAATCCACACATCTTAAAAGCTGTCAAGTTTGAAAAATGCTGATCTAGAGCAGTGGTTCTCAACCTGTGGGTCGGGACCCCATTTGGGGTCGATCGACCATTTCATGGGGGTCGCCAAGCAAGGCTGTCTGCCATTTTTTTGTCCGCCATTTTTTTTGTCCGCCATTTTTCCCCCTTTTCCAGCGGGTGCCTTACCTCCCTTGGGCTGGGCCAGCTGGTGGTCGGCCTGCTCCATCTCTGCCGCTTGCCAGCTATGCCTCGGCCGGCGGAGGGGGCGGAACCACGCATGCGCGGCGCTCCCGGGCAGGGAAAGTCCTCGACTTACGACCGGTTGGGTAGTCCTTGACTTATGACCGATTTAGTCCTCGACTTACGACCAGTTGGGGTCGTGGCATTTAAAAGGTTGAGAACCACTGATCTAGAGGATATCCACAATAAGCAAAACTGCTATAAATTGTAATCTGTATTTTAATGAGCAATGGGTTTATTAAATACATGAGGACGACTTATTCTCCAAAGTACCTGAGGGTAGGACAAGAAGCAATGGGTGGAAGCTCACTAAAGAGAGATCCAATCTGGACTAAGGAGAAATTTCCTATCAAGGATATTATAAATATTTTAAGATATACAAGAAACTCCATTGATGGGAGTTTTCAAGAAAAGATTGGAGAACCATTTTTCAAGAAGACCTCCAAGATTCCTTCCAGCCATACGCTTCTATGATTTACCAAGAAAATGGCATCTACAGAGCTAGTATAATGTAGTGGTTAGAATCTGGGAGACGATGGGTTTTAATCCTACCTTGCGCAAAAGGCAGCTGGTGACCTTGGGCCAATCATTCTCTCTCTGCCCTAGAAAGGAGGCAAGGGCAAACCATGCTAAACTTTTCTAAGAACTTTTGCCTTCATCTTTCCTGTATTGGGAAGACAGAGGTGATCTGCCTTTTGCTTTCTATCTACTATTCTGTTTTGTTTTCTTGTTTTGTTCTGTTTCTGTGTAGTGAAAAATGACTATGTATATCTCAGAAATTCTTGACAAAGAGCAGAAATAATTAAATATTAGAAGAAATGGCAGTCACCAAAAGAAAAGCTGCTTTTTTAGCTATGAAAGTCACATCTCTGTCATTAGCTCAGTGATTAGAGGAAGAATTAGAGAGAGATGAAAGGGCATATAATTTGTCTGCTTTATACTTATGCAGATCAACTTTTATTACTGTTGTGTAATTAAACATCATAGCTAATTATAATTTACTACTACGTTACTGTCTGAAATAAGCAATCTATAAGGGGTTGTTTTCAGTTTTTTCTTCACTAGCTTATTTCTGAGAACACTCTATTTAAAAAAGAATAAACAATTTTAAATAGTTACTCAGAGAACAAGATGTAAAGGGGATGTTAATTAGTATTCCAGTGCTGATATTAACATTCTTTTTTTTAAAGAATCTTCAATATCATCTCTTCTTCAATATCACCCATACATCTAATATAAATTGTGAGACTTACTCAGAAAAGGAAATACTACTTTTGTTGTTGTTGTTGTTGTTGTTGTTTTTGCATATAGACAAAATGCTGGGCATTGGAATATTCTATTCTTCCTAGGAGAAGTAGGAGAGAGACCATTTCATATCTCTCCATGGTTCAAAAGCTTTCTGTGTATAGAAGGAGCCCTTCCATCTATGGACAGTAGAGTTCTGAATCCATCTCAAAGTAAACTAGTGAAGAGTTGTATAAATAAAGTCATATTCTCTGATCTATCATATATGGATGTCTTCCTTTTCAAGGCTGATCTCACAATAAGGCGACAGACCACAAATGATTCGGATGGAGACAATGGTAAACTCCGAAGAAGGAAATTGTCTTTTGAAAGTGACATGGAGAAAGGTAAGGATGCCTTCGTATACTAAATGATGTTTTTTGAAAGAATAATGACATAAACCTATGCTAAATTTGTCTCAGACTCAGAGATGATCACAGTGCACAGATAGAGCTAATATCTTTTTATCTGGCAAAAATGTCTATTTGACCTAAATTTCTTTTACTGCATTTCCATGCACATTTACTTGGGAATAACCTCCACTGGATTCAGTGGTGATTATTGCTAAGTAGACATTATGTGCAATTTCAAAGTTAATGAAATTAAACAATTGGGGCTTTCACCTTATTGCACTATAATTCTAATTTAATGTATTTCTGATGCAGTATAAAACATGTTTTCCAAGTTGCCTGTATCCTATTCAAGAGGAAGTACTGTGTTTTCTTTCATCAAAGGGTGTCTCTAAAGCATGAAGCCAAAAGAAAAGAGGCAACAAAATCTGTCAAGAAAATGCCTTCATAAACTATTTAAACTGCTCTCCTCCTCCTCCCCCATTGAGAAATTGTTGCCTGAGATTATGTCCCTGGGTGACCTTCAGTAACTAAATAAATACTAAAACATGCTGAAGAAGAAAAAGTAACTTTCTGTCCTATATCCATTATGAATTTTTAATAGGTTTTTTTCAGGAAGCCACATAAATTACTGCTATGACTTCACTTCTCCAAGTGCTACACCCTGCTGATCTACTAAGAACAGTGGAAGTCAGCAAAAACTAACTCTTTGGTTTGACTCCAGACTTGCCCATCTGTAAAAGGAAAGACAGATTTCATTTGTAAAACAAACAAATAAATAATATGAAACAGTGAAGACTCTGTTGGAACAAGAATCCAGGGCAAACTATATATCCACTATTTCAAGAAGCAATCCTTAACTTCCCTTTCAGAGAACACATAAATATCAAAATTGCTCTTGCTTTCTCTGCCTCCAGGAAGCTCAGTTTTGCTATTCTTATGTTGCTTTTTGTTCTACTATGCCATGTACAAACGGAAGTATTTCACATCTAGACCAACTGTCAACATTTTAGATCAGGGGTCTTCAAACTTGGCCCTTTTATGATTTGTGGACTTCAACTCCCAGAATTCCTCAGCCAGCATGCCTGGCTAAGGAATTCTGGGAGTTGAAGTCCACAAGTCATAAAAGGGCCAAGTTTGAAGACCCCTGTTTTAGATCATATCAGAATTGGGTACCACATAATATAACCAGGTGCTGATTTTAACCTATAAAACCCTTTATAGTTTGATACTCAGATACATGCAGAACTTTCTGCTCCAGTCAATGTTGGCCAGACTGATTAGATCAACCAGGAAAAACCAAGGCATTTGGGACTTTCAGGAGGTTTTTGGGGCTGAGACAAGGCAGCATGGTGAAACAGCCATCTTATAATAATAATAATAATAATAATAATAATAATAATAATAATAATAATAATAATAATAATAATAATAATAATAATAATAATAATAGTAAAGTTGGAAGGGACCTTGAAGGTCATCTAGTCCAACCCCCTGCTCAGGCAGGAAACCCTATACCATTTCGGACAAATGGCTGTCCAGTCTCTTCTTAAAAACTTCCAGTNGTTCTCAACCTGTGGGTCGGGACCCCATTTGGGGTCGATCGACCATTTCATGGGGGTCGCCAAGCAAGGCTGTCTGCCATTTTTTTGTCCGCCATTTTTTTTGTCCGCCATTTTTCCCCCTTTTCCAGCGGGTGCCTTACCTCCCTTGGGCTGGGCCAGCTGGTGGTCGGCCTGCTCCATCTCTGCCGCTTGCCAGCTACGCCTCGGCCGGCGGAGGGGGCGGAACCACGCATGCGCGGCGCTCCCGGGCAGGGAAAGTCCTCGACTTACGACCGGTTGGGTAGTCCTTGACTTATGACCGATTTAATCCTCGACTTACGACCAGTTGGGGTCGTGGCATTTAAAAGGTTGAGAACCACTGATCTAGAGGATATCCACAATAAGCAAAACTGCTATAAATTGTAATCTGTATTTTAATGAGCAATGGGTTTATTAAATACATGAGGACGACTTATTCTCCAAAGTACCTGAGGGTAGGACAAGAAGCAATGGGTGGAAGCTCACTAAAGAGAGATCCAATCTGGACTAAGGAGAAATTTCCTATCAAGGATATTATAAATATTTTAAGATATACAAGAAACTCCATTGATGGGAGTTTTCAAAAAAAGATTGGACAACCATTTTTCAAGAAGATCTCCAAGATTCCTTCCAGCCATATGAGTCTATGATTTACCAAGAGAATGGCATCTACAGAGCTAGTATAATGTAGTGGTTAGAATCTGGGAGACGATGGGTTTTAATCCTACCTTGTGCAAAAGACAGCTGGTGACCTTGGGCCAATCATTCTCTCTCTGCCCTAGAAAGGAGGCAAGGGCAAACCATGCTAAACTTCTCTAAGAACTTTTGCCTTCATCTTTCCTCTATTGGGAAGACAGAGGTGATCCGCCTTTTGCTTTCTATCTACTATTCTGTTTTGTTTTCTTGTTTTGTTCTGTTTCTGTGTAGTGAAAAATGACTATGTATATCTCAGAAATTCTTGACAAAGAGCAGAAATAATTAAATTTTAGAAGAAATGGCAGTCACCAAAAGAAAAGCTGCTTTTTTAGCTATGAAAGTCACATCTCTGTCATTAGCTCAGTGATTAGAGGAAGAATTAGAGAGAGATGAAAGGGCATATAATTTGTCTGCTTTATACTTATGCAGATCAACTTTTATTACTGTTGTGTAATTAAACATCATAGCTAATTATAATTTACTACTACGTTACTGTCTGAAATAAGCAATCTATAAGGGGTTGTTTTCAGTTTTTTCTTCACTAGCTTATTTCTGAGAACACTCTATTTAAAAAAGAATAAACAATTTTAAATAGTTACTCAGAGAACAAGATGTAAAGGGGATGTTAATTAGTATTCCAGTGCTGATATTAACATTCTTTTTTTAAAAGAATCTTCAATATCATCTCTTCTTCAATATCACCCATACATCTAATATAAATCGTGAGACTTACTCAGAAAAGGAATTACTACTTTTGTTGTTGTTGTTGTTGTTGTTTTTGCATATAGACAAAATGCTGGGCATTGGAATATTCTATTCTTCCTAGGAGAAGTAGGAGAGAGACCATTTCATATCTCTCCATGGTTCAAAAGCTTTCTGTGTATAGAAGGAGCCCTTCCATCTATGGACAGTAGAGTTCTGAATCCATCTCAAAGTAAACTAGTGAAGAGTTGTATAAATAAAGTCATATTCTCTGATCTATCATATATGGATGTCTTCCTTTTCAAGGCTGATCTCACAATAAGGCGACAGACCACAAATGATTCGGATGGAGACAATGGTAAACTCCGAAGAAGGAAATTGTCTTTTGAAAGTGACATGGAGAAAGGTAAGGATGCCTTCATATACTAAATGAAGTTTTTTGAAAGAATAATGACATAAACCTATACTAAATTTGTCTCAGACTCAGAGATGATCACAGTGCACAGATAGAGCTAATATCTTTTTATCTGGCAAAAATGTCTATTTGACCTAAATTTCTTTTACTGCATTTCCACGCACATTTACTTGGGAATAACCTCCACTGGATTCAGTGGTGATTATTGCTAAGTAGACATTACGTGCAATTTCAAAGTTAATGAAATTAAACAATTGGGGCTTTCACCTTATTGCACTATAATTCTAATTTAATGTATTTCTGATGCAGTATAAAACATGTTTTCCAAGTTGCCTGTATCCTATTCAAGAGGAAGTACTGTGTTTTCTTTCACCAAAGGGTGTCTCTAAAGCATGAAGCCAAAAGAAAAGAGGCAACAAAATCTGTCAAGAAAATGCCTTCATAAACTATTTAAACTGCTCTCCCCCTCCTCCCCCCATTGAGAAATTGTTGCCTGAGATTATGTCCCTGGGTGACCTTCAGTAACTAAATAAATACTAAAACATGCTGAAGAAGAAAAAGTAACTTTCTGTCCTATATCCATTATGAATTTTTAATAGGTTTTTTTCAGGATGCCACATAAATTACTGCTATGACTTCACTTCTCCAAGTGCTACACCCTGCTGATCTACTAAGAACAGTGGAAGTCAGCAAAAACTAACTCTTTGGTTTGACTCCAGACTTGCCCATCTGTAAAAGGAAAGGAAGATTTCATTTGTAAAACAAACAAATAAATAATAAGAAACAGTGAAGACTCTGTTGGAACAAGAATCCAGGGCAAACTATATATCCACTATTTCAAGAAGCAATCCTTAACTTCCCTTTCAGAGAACACATAAATATCAAAATTGTTCTTGCTTTCTCTGCCTCCAGGAAGCTCAGTTTTGCTATTCTTATGTTGCTTTTTGTTCTACTATGCCATGTACAAACGGAAGTATTTCACATCTAGACCAACTGTCAACATTTTAGATCAGGGGTCTTCAAACTTGGCCCTTTTATGACTTGTAGACTTCAACTCCCAGAATTCCTCAGCCAGCATGCCTGGCTAAGGAATTCTGGGAGTTGAAGTCCACAAGTCATAAAAGTGCCAAGTTTGAAGACCCCTGTTTTATATGGGTACCACATAATATAACCAGGTGCTGATTTTAACCTATAAAACCCTTTATAGTTTGATACTCAGATACATGCAGAACTTTCTGCTCCAGTCAATGTTGGCCAGACTAATTAGATCAACCAGGAAAAACCAAGGCATTTGGGACTTTAAGGAGGTTTTTGGGGCTGAGACAAGGCAGCATGGTGAAACAGCCATCTTGAGGAGGTCAGGCTAGCTCCCTCTTTGTTGTAAACTCTTGAAGACTGAGTTGTTCCATAGAGCTTTTACCTGATTTGATGTTGCCATTTCAGCTCTTCTTTATCTTTATTCCTGTCTTATTTTATATGGTTTTACCTTTGCACAATCGTATTATAATTCTGTTTTTCTACTGTAGATGTTTTAATTTGTAACTTTCCTGCATAAGCTACCAAGAGTCTTTTTGATTGCAGCATTGAATTAAATCAGTCAGTCAACCAATCAAATCCACAGGAACAAGCAAACAGTGTATTAAAACTAAAATATACTTGGTTAAATAAAATGCTTGTCTCTTGAAAGAGAACACTCCTGACTTTAGAAAAAGCTCTTTTTCCAGAGGCATTCCCCCTTTTAAGTGAACTTTGTAATCCCGAGAGATTATTTATTTGTCCAATTCATGTTGCCATCATGTAGCCAATGTATGTTGCTACCCATATTAGGATAAAGTGAACTATCAGGTATGGAAATAATAAAATAACAAGGTTATAAATCCTTCCATCAGCACCAACCTTATATCACTATCCTCCCAAATCACAATGCTGGCTATACCTCCCATCCTGGCCCAAGGCCTGAGGGGTAAACAAAGTGTTAACAGCCTTCCAGAGAATAGGGAACATCTGGATCTCAGATATCATGTAATGCTATTCAGCCAGTCAGTCATTTTTAACTTTATGATGGAATAGATCCTTGACCCAAGAGGCTTTTAAATCTTAAAAAAAAAAATGACACAAAACTAGGAAAGAAAAGATTTTGTGACTATGACAATGAACAACATTTAGGTTTAATCAGTTAAAGCAGATATATGCATTTTCCTTCTATTCCTGTGATACCCTTGTTATGAGGTCATTTTATTTTATTTTTTTAAGTATCAGAAGTTGAAGAGGTTAGTACCTCTTTGAAATCTTAGCTTTTTTCTCACTGCAGTAGTTTCTAT